GGGATGAGAGAGAGAGAGAGAGGTTGATTTGCACAGGCGGTCAGCGTGGGAGCAATTGAAGGCACAATTTCAACGCAACAATGCTGAGGTGACTCGACCTTTGATCGAGTAGTTGTGCTCTGCCATTATAAACTCTGAATGTGGGGAACATCGGATCCCCTCAGCGAATGGTGAGATCAGCATCCGTCTTAGCGTTGCAGAACATTGGGAGAATGGAGCTGCGTTCAAGATGTTCCGATCAGTCAGAGCGGTAGCGGTGTATTCAGGGGACGACAGAAGTAAATTGCTCTTCGTTAAGTCCCTGCTTCTCCCATGAAGAGACGAAGGGAAGAAGGTGATATGGAATACCACCCCTGGGCAGGAGGAGGGGGTTCCAGCAGTGTATGATATGATCGAGTGTAGTGCACAGCTCTTTATTTCTGCTGCTGCCAAGGTCATGAAGTCCCTGCTTCTCGCAAGAAGAGGAAAGAGAGCAGGTGGTCTGGGACACCAAATATTCAAACCAAATGTCTGCAGGAGGTAAAAAGAAATAGTTGCTGCTAAGATCTGTGGGTGCAGAGGGGGCTTCCCGCGGCGTAGGATCTAGTCTAGAACATTGTTCTTCGTTTCTCCTGGCAAAGGCGTGCCACCCTATTGAGGTGCCACTGGCTAGGAGGAGGAGATTTGGGCCCAGTTGAGTGGTCCAGAAGGGACGAGGGGGAGGAGGAAGCAGGAGAAAGAGGTCTTGAGATGAGAGCAAGAGGAGACGGAGAAGAGGAAGAAGAAGAGGTTTGGGGGAAAAAGTTTATTTGCTCATGTGAATGGGATTATGGGCAGAGGTGACCATCATCAGGGCTCCAAGACGACAACTCTTTCAGCAAGAAAGGCGCATTGAGAAGAGAGTAGCAGGCGAAGGAGGAGGAAAAGAAGGGCTTCGGGAAGGTATATCTGTCTACGCAATGAGCAGAGGTCAGCATCACCGGGGTGAGGGACGCCACCAACTCCTTGAGCAACCTATTCTGCACCCCATTGACAACTGTTCAGGTCTCCATATGAGAGCTCTATGGGGTGTTCCAGTGAACGGGACGCAATGCGTGGAGGATGTACGGAGTGTAATGGGAAGAGCATTCAAGGCTAGGACACAGACGGAAGGACTCAGAATGTAGAGCAAAACTGGCAGAAAACGGCATTCGGGGCGTTAATGGCGAGAAGAGAACGTGTTGCGCGGGCTGGCTTCTGTGGAAACTCAAGGCTGTTGTGGTATTCATGACTGCGAAGACACGTGGAACGACACAAAACTCGTTCGGGGCGTGAATGGGGAGGAGAACATGTTGCGAGGGTTTGCTACTTCGAATACACAAGGCGGTTACTACTATGTGATAGACGGTTTGGTCATCAGGCGAAGGTGGAAGGGGTGGAGGATAAGAGATGGATAGACTCTTATGCTTTCGGGTGGTGCGGGAGAGGTGGAAGGGAAGATGAACGGTCTCTCGATCCCGTCGTGTTTTGCCTGGTACGGCAACACTCACACCTGATGATCCCATTGACAGCTGCTAAAACCATCGTCAGCTCTGAAGGAAGCAGCAGCGGTGTTGGAGGGTAACGACGTCGCTAGTGGAACGGTGATCATCTGGCTTTCTCCGTGCACGTATACGAAAAGAAAGGAGGTCAGGATGTTGTCGAATATATATGAGGGATGGAATCGTGGCTAAGCATGGTATGCCGCGGAGGAAGATGTCAATCCTGGGAAGAACAATTGAGAAATTTAGATTGAACTTGATTGAAGGGAAGTGATTTTGCGGACGAGGTGGAAGGCTCGCAACAAGTCTTCGCCTCGCGAAGAACAGCGAAATGGAAACCACATCGTTAGCGGACTTCTGGAGCGATTTTGCAGACTAAACGCTTGCAACAGGTCGTCGTGAAGAACAGCGAAATGGAAACCACGTCGATTGCCTGCGACGAGTCTTTGACCCTCACGAAGACGAATGGCATTGTTGATGATACTTGTGGGAAGCTGGAGTGACGGTCCTTGGTTTCTTGCCGGCTACGTATGCGCCCATGCATCTGTGGTGGGGCAATGTATGCATGCGGATACATCCCTCCGTTTGTGGGCCGGCTTCTGTCGGCAAGGTCCTCCCTGTGTTCTCCCTCCTGGAGACTTAGAGAGAGAAGAAAAAAGACTATCATTCTCGCGGAGCTTGACTTGGCAGGATCAATACAAGCACTACGGTGGATGGATGCCATTTCTCAGAGGCGCCTATTGTCAGGCAAGGTGCCTATGAATGCGAACTTTTTCGCAGATCTCTATGCTCAGACAGGCGCCGGAAGTTGAAACTGGTGGGTGGGTATGCTTCACCGCAATCGCAATGAAGTTACCTATCATGTGTGGCATGTGGATACGTACTTGCGGCGCTTGTTCTCAGATTTGAAAAGGAGAATTTTTTGTGTTTTGACATTGAGGGAAGAGAGTATCGCTGACGGTCCTCGACGAGAGCAGCAGCAGCATTATCTATTGTGTTTTGACATTGAGGGAAGAGAGTATCGCTGACGGTCCTCGACGAGAGCAGCAGCAGCATTATCTATCACTGCCTTTTGGCTTACTGTCCCCAGCGGTAGAGGTGTGTGCATTACTCAGACTCGCTTTTCGGCATTGACGATGACGGGAAATGCATGCGATGACAAGATAGCATGCCAGCATCTTGACGGCTCACCAATGCACTCCCCCGGCTGTCACCGGCCGATGGTGAGATGCATTGCTGCTTGGCTTCAACGGCCGCCACCTTGCGGACATGACAATTAAAAAACGTGGATCTGCGAAGCATGGAGACAATGAAACGCCAAAGAACGCTGATTCGGCGGAAAGCGGTGCCAGCCGTGTGTTCGTTCCTTCGTCTGCTTTTGATCGTTTTCAAAAGGGGGCTTCTTGTCCCACACTTCTTGTCTGAAGGCCGAGAAGCGTGGATGGAGACTGGAGGTGTGTCGGATCCAGCTCCCGTACCCTGCACTTGGCTGCTTTAGTTCCTCTGCTGAAACCAGCGCAGCGTTTCGTCGTCGTCGTCGTCGTCTGTGCGTTTTATGCGACGAGGATTTAGATTGGTCTTGTCTTGGAGAAAGTTTTGCAGCCATAATTTCTCTCTCCGAATGTGACGGAAGGTCTTATGGCCGTTCGTTGGAGTACTGCCAGCATTCTTGTCCTTGCTCAGTTCAAACTTTCCTGTGAACCGTGCAGCCAGAGAAGGGTCAGATTCATGAGCAGCCTGTCATCTTATGTCAGAGGCAATTGCATCAGACTCGAGTAATCTCCCGAAGGAGTGAAAAGCACTCTCCTTGGTTGTTTCCTTTTTTTTTTTCTTTTTTTTTTATCCTAATTTCCCAAATTGATTTTACGTAGGTGTTCAGCACAGGTCGGAGTTTTCGGATTCTGTTTTGAAATATCGTGTTGATTTTTTTATTTTTATTGTTTTTTAAACTTTTTTTAAAATTTCGGTGTTGAGACAGACTTTGGCGCTGCTGCCACATTTTTGAGCCTAGGGTTAGACGCAACTTGGTGAGGATATTCTGTTCTTATTCCGGAAAATAGCTATCTTTTCGTTATGTGAAAAAAAGGGGCAATTTTTTTTCCCTTCAGAAATAGTGTTCATTTTGTGAGTATTTTCACAACGTGGAGGCAGTTTGTCGTTGAAAATATATATATGTATATATACGCCTACAGTTTACTGGGCAGCTCTGTTTGACTATATATATTAATTTATTAAATTATTAATAATTTATTATTATTAATCAATTGTCAATGTGATAACTTGTAAAGGATCTGGCAGGAACAAGTTGAAGGGGAAAAAACTCAATTTCCCTCTCATTCTTATAATTATTTTTTAGAAATTTTAAAATGTAGAAAATTGATTGCGAAATTCTTCCAAGTTTTTTTTTCTTAGAAATTTTAGAAAATCAATGATTGAGAAATCCTTTCAAGTTTGCTGATATTGACATATTGATCAATTTGTTCTTTCTCTTCTTTTTTTTTTTTTTTTTTTTTGATATTGGATTTTCACGAGACCTTTAGGTATTCTTAACTTTCTTCCCTTATTGTTTTTTTTCTTTTTTTTTATATTGGATTTTCACGAGACCTTTCGGAATTTTCCCACTTTTCTTTTGCGAAAGGGGACCACCATCCATGGCATGCTCAGACACGAGGTCCGCTTCACACTGCACTCACGTGAGACACACGACGACGTCCAACAGATTCTCCGAAAGCGGCTATGGCTGCAACTCCGCATGCAGGTAAGCCTCTCTCTCTCTCTCTCTCTCTCTCTTTCTCTCTCTCTCTCTCTCTCTCTCTCTCTCTCTCTCTCTCTCTCTCTCTCTNTCTCTCTCTCTCTCTCTCTCTCTCTCTCTCTCTCTCTCTCTCTCTCTCTCTCTCTCTCTCTCTCTCTCTCTCTCTCTCTCTCCGTGCTCTTGCTCTCACTTCATCGTCCTCGCTCGTCTCTTAGAATGTCTTCCTGTCTCTCACACTACAACTATATGGCTATGGCACCCAGCGCCACCGTTGACTACTCTGCACTGCGCTCACTCTCACTGACTTGATCCCCTCCCCCAACGCACAAGAAGACCGCAGAAGCGCTCCCCCGCATTGAGTGCCCAACACACACGGTTGAAGTTCAGCAGCTGCGCCGCATTGACTTTTGTACTTGCTGATCTGCCTCCAGGCATCTTTTGCTCGTTATGGGTTCGCTCCCCTTTCCTTCGTTTGCTGCTCTTCCGGAAGCTTTTACGGATCCTCCTTGGATCTGGCTGCTTGGTCAGAGTTACTGACACCTGGCCCGAACGGAACGACCTCTTCGTCCTTGGCTGAGTTCATAGTGGCTTCTAAACGTAACCCATAATATCTACTATCTACTACTAAACAGACTCTTTTACCCATAACTCTTATCTATTAGCATAGCCTATTTAACCCATAAGGGCCATAACAATTATATCTAAAAAAACTTTAAAAAAGTAATAACAATTATCTAAAAGAAGGAGCTTCCTATGTAGAAGCACCCACCACTGAGCTACGTAACCAGCCTACCAGGCCCTATGTCGGCTTCCAAAGTCATCATACAAACAAAGAGCTGCTCTTCTAGAGGACTCGTGAATGTTGTTCGAGTGGCTGGGACCACTTGTGGAACTCGGAATGCGACTTGGGACTAGGATCTGGGACTTGGGACTGGGACCTGAGAATTGGTACTAGGAACTGGGACTGTGGCCTCGGACTTGGGACTGGGACCTGGGCGTCGGAAGTCTGTGAATCTTTTTCGTTTTTTTGTTTCCGACTTTCCTTTTGTCAGAAATTTCTCCCAATGTCCGTCTTGGGTTTGCTTTGGTCCTATTCTTGTTGTGCTCTACCAAATATACCAACTGCTTTTGCTCTTTTTTCTTCTTTTCATTTTCATTTTGTC